TTTGAGAACCAGCCTGAGGCATAGGCAACTTGGGCTCAATTCTGATCTCTGCCACAGATTTCTTGTGTGACCTTGGGCCAATTACTTAACCTCTTGGTGCTTCAGGTCCCCATCTGTAAAATGCAGACATCGTAATTCCCAGAGTCTTGACTTCTCTGTTTAGATTGCAAACTCCTTGGGACTGCGACTGTGTCATATTATGCGACAGCACAGCACCAATGCAATGGGGCCCAAAGCTCAGCTGAGGCCTCTTGGTGCAGCTGCAGTACAGTAATAAAAGTAGTGTCAGGTACTAACACTGCTAATATCTATGGCTTTGCTGCCACATTTTCCTACTAAACAAGAATGTTTTTACCTTCCTTGGTACTCGCTGAAAGAGCCACACAAATAACAGGGGAAACGGACTATGGTGAAACTGACAATACTAGAAGCTCCGTCAAATGCACTCAAGGAACAAACTGGGGGTGGGGAAAATGGAAACCCCCACCCTTCATTTTTCCCTCTAATCTCCTTCCTTTTCTGTGATCTTAAGTGTGACTTGCAATGATAGTAGGCAAAAAAAGAAGTCAGCGAGAAGTGTGATTTTTACATGGAGGGTCTCCCTTTAACAAACACGCCCGAATCCCCGCTCTCTTGCTTTTATTTTTAGCAACACCACCTGGCCTCAGACAGAAAGAGCACCGCCCTGGATGTGTGTGTGTCTGTTTGTGTTTATGGGGGGATAGTGGGCAAGTGGGTGCTTATGTGTTTTCTTATTCAAACAGGACCGAGCCACGCTTTTATTATTTTTAAATAGATGACTATTAGAGTAGAAAGAGAGTGGGAGAAAGACCTGGTTGGCTTTGTCTCTGTAATGTGCCATGTTTTATCAACTGACGACTGGCTCATACAGAGACAGCAAAGAGGAGGGGGCACCAGGGGATAGGCAGCTCAAGTGGATGGCTATATTTGGGACAAAAGCAGCACCTGTAACCAGCAACATTAATCCGTCTCTCTCTGAAACTAGGGACCAGGGCAGATGTTTGAGGTTAAATGCACGGTGGTGCACTCGGAAAGAGGCCTGTGCTGAAGTGCTGGCTCAGAGAGCGTATCTAGTCAAATGGAGCATCTTCAGACATCACACGCAGCCGCTCTTTAAATTTGTGATCTTGGGCTATGTCTGCCTGATGAGCTAGGGGTGTGATTCCCTTGCTTGCGTACACGTGTGCTAGCTCTCAGCGAGTTCATGCAAGTATAAATAGCCATGTAGCCACGGTAGCATGGGTAGTGGCACGCCCCTAGTGGGCAGGGCAGAGGACTGGAAGTCAGGACACCGTTACTAGCACTTATAGTAGGAGAAAAGGAGACAGGACTCCTGGGTTCTATTTCTGGGCCCTGGGAAGAAGTGTCACATGGTTACCAAGTATGGGACAGGGAGCTAGGATTCCTGGGTTCTACTTCCAGTTCAGACAGTAGCTCACTGTGAGACCTTGAGAAAGTCACTTGACCTCTCTGTGCCTCAGTTCCTCCATGTGGATATGGGTAATTTACATAATTAAATATGGATTGCCAATACCAGTGGTGTCACCTCTTGTGAGTTGTCCAATTTTTGTTTATTTTTATTCAGGCCCCAGATCTTGGAGTCAAGTGACACAATGAGAATCTCTGCTTTCATTTTTTTTTTAAAACCTACGTTTCTAGCCCTCAGAGTTGCAGAGAACAGCTTGAAAACATGATTAGGTTGTATCCTAAAGGCTCAAAAACTAGACGGCAAATAAAAAGAACCCAAAATATATTATTTGTTAACTCTCATGGTTTTTAAGCCCCATCTCAAGATTTTTGCATGCTTAGGCTTGGCAATACTACAATAGTCTGCAGCATGGTCTAGCAGCATGGGTACTAGCTAGAGAAGTAGGATGGACCAGTAATCAGGCCATTTGATTGGGATAGAGGAAACCCTCTGTGCTTGGTCCTGTCTCCTACTATGCCCAGGAGCAAATCTATTAGCCTGAGCTTCCCCTCTGTACCATGGAGATAACAGCACTGCCCTAGCTCACAGGGACATGAAGCTATAAATACATTGAAGACAGAGAGGTATGTGGATACCCCAGTAATAGGGGACAGATAAGTACCTTACAAAGAAGGGCACTTGCCCTGGATTCTAATCCTGTCCTGCTGTGTGAGCTTGGACTTTCCCCCTTTCTCCTGTCTATTTTAATCGTAAGCTCCTTGAGGCAGGGACTATATGTTTGTACAGCACCTAGCATAATGCGGCCCCAAACCTGGCTGGGGCCTCGACAAGCTACCATAGCACAAATAATTAATAACGTGACTACCCTGAGTCCTCCAGTCTCCCCCAGATGCTCTTTTGTCCAAACATGTCTATTTACACACTGCAAACATTTTTCAGTCTTTGAAAATTTTACTTCTTGAGATGCAATGTGGACGTTTCCGGGCCTGAAATGTAAATCCCCTCCAAACTCTTATCACCTGGATTCTCCGGTTTCTAATTGGTGAGGTGGATTTTTTCCCCCTCTTTTTCTTTTCTGCATCAATGTCTCCACAGAAGAGGGATTGTAAATAACAGAGTCCCGTGCTGTGAGCACCCCCTTCTGGTTCATTGGCTATCCTGCATGCCAGGCTCATGTCTACAAATACAAATGGCTTCTGATAGGATGGGAAGTACAACACTGTTAAACCAAAAAATTCCTTTGGCTTCACTGAAAACTGTGCCTCTGTGTGTGTGAGCACAGGCTGAAATCTTTAAAGGACAAACATTACTTGCATGTTTCAAAGAGGGCCCTACATACAATGCAGAGAAATAAGACTGCTAAGGAAAGAAATGATAAGCAGATTCCAACCCTTTGGTTAAATACCAAGATTTAACTAATACCTGGTCACTTGCATGGAAGATATACAGTCAGACCTGAATTTTCAGAAGGTCTCAGCACCCACAATTGGGGCCAGGTTTTCAGAAAAGCTCAACTCCCATTTAGGCATTTAAATGAGAGCCCAAAGAGGGTTGGGTTTCAAACTTTCCTGTGCTGGGAATATCCTGTTTCTTCATGTGAAGGGAAGGAGTCCAGGTAGGGTGACCAGATGTCCTGATTTTATAGGGACAGTCCTGATTTTTGGGTCTTTTTCTTGTATAGATTCCTATTACCCCCCACCTCGTCCTGATTTTTCACATTTACTGTCCGGTCACCCTAAGTCCAGGAGTCATATAATGGGAGCATGTGACTGAGACCCAGGCTGACTGGGGAATATAAGGGCAACCTGAGATCAGTTGGTAAGACAATCTCTTTAGCTTCAGGCAGAGAAGTGCAAATGGGCAGTGAGGAAGGCTGTGTGGGGAGCAAGGTTGCTGGAGAAAAGCCTGAGCTGGGACAAGGCTTAGAACATGGCACCTGGGGTTGTGAGCCAGCTAGAAAGCTGGGTGGAAGATTTTGTGTATCCTATTGAAATTAAGGTTAATAAACCAGGCCCCACACTTGACATGTGAAAGCCTATGTGAAGTTATTTGGGAACCCAAGAAGGAGAAACCAAGGCAAAGGATGGATGTGATGTTAGGCTGGCTAAGTCCCAGCTACAGTATGCAACTGAAATACTGCAGAGGGAATTCATGCATCAGACTCGAGGCCTATCTAGCCCAGTATCCTGCTAGTAGCCAAGATCGGCTGCTTCAGAGAAAGGTGCAAACAAGTTTCTTCCTGACCCCAGAATTGGCGTTTGATCAGGGTTCATGTGAAAAACACTGTGATCATAGGTGCTTAGGATTCTGGTTCTAGGGCTTATTGCAACACAGCACCTTGAGCATCACACTGGGACCAGAGTTCAGTTCACCAGAGGGCAGAGTGAGAACTACTGACCTAATGCCTGCAACATGCAAAAAGCAAGGTTTAAAACCTGTTCATGCAAAGAACAGCGACTGTGTAATCAGTTCATTGACTCACTAACAAACACATGTGAAAATGACAATCACGCAGTCTTATGCAATGGGGCTGGCTGGCGAAGCGGTGGTTTGCATTTCAGCATGGGTGTGTCTGCAAACTGGGATGTTACCAGCAATCTGTGTGCATGGAAACTCATCTTTTCATGCAATGGGCATAAAACAGTGGACTCTGTTTTTAACACAATCAGAAATATTCCAGGAACAGAGGAAGACAGATTATTTATTACTCAAACCACAGGATTCTTCTGAAGCCAAACTCGCCGTTCTTGGTGCATGCTCCAGGGTTTTGAAACATGTTGTGCTTGGTTTTGTGTAGGTGGAGGGGGTTAGGCCTGTAAACGGTGGGTGAAGCTGGGATTTAGATTGAGTGTTTTCTAGGGGAAATAGAATGGCATAATGTAGGTTGTGGGAGCTGTATGAGGGATTGTGAGTTGGGGGGTGGGTGTCACACCTCTGTGGAGTGGATTTACAGCAAATTGTGAAGCTTACACTGAACCACTGCAGAATAGAGAGTAGAGTAACACAAAGTCCCACTAAGCCATGCTGGGGGAAAAGCAGCTGGTAAGTTTCCCCTACAGCTATAGCGAACTCAACACAGGATCTGGGATCAGAACTGCAAACACAGCCGCCCCCTGCTGCAGGCTTCCCGTAGGTCTAGACGGTTATTCAACCAGCAGCAATCTCGCCCGGGTGGCTGCATGCCTCCATAGAGGGTTAACATGCAGCCACTGGGGGAGGCTGTGTGGCAATATATCTCTTGAGGGTGCATCTTGGGATATCTGTGAGTCATGGAGGATGAAAGCCTGAACCGTCTAACTGCAAGGAGGCAAACCTCGGTGCCCTGGAAGGATTCATAGGGGAATCTGGGCCCAGAGCCTCTCAGTCCCTATGCTGGGAAATGCAAATAAGCAACCAGTTTGTTTAGATCCTCTCTGCTCTGAGCTGAATCCCTTTTGGGATTTAAAAGAGGGAGAGGAGGGAAGAGATGGTGAGCTGGAGAAAGAGGAAGGGGAAGAGTGTGGGAGAGAGAGAAAAGAAAGGGGGCGGGAGAGAAAAAAAGCAGACTGACCTTCTTTGGCTGCGAGTCGTGAGGAGGGCTCTGTGTGGGTTGGAGTGTTGTAGACCAGCAATGAGCTACCTGGAAGGCAAACAAAGGGGGTTACAGTGATGTGAATTCAGTGTATTTTCAGGAGGGCAGAGGAGAGCCAAGGGGTGGGAGGGATGGGAAGATGTCATCACCTGGAACTAGGGGCCAGATTTTCCAAGAGCTCAGTATGTTGGTTGCACATGGGGTGCTGAGCTCTCCTGAACCCCTGGCTGGAAACGTCACAGTAGGGGCTGCAGCATGCTGAACTTGGCTGAGGATCTGACCCATTAGTGAGGTGTCTCAATGGGAGGTGAGTTCTCTGGGAAATCTGGCCCGGGCTGTGGGCACTGAGCCTTGAAAATCTGGCCCTGAACGCTTGTGCAAAATCTATTCCTAAGAAAGCGCCTGAATCACCATCCACAGCGAATTGTCTGGTCCCTTATCAGCTCTGGTTTGGGACTGTATCTAGTGGGTGGAGTAGGAGGCTGCTAGGCAGGGCTTCCTGACACTGGGGTATGTCTACACTGTGGACTTTGCTGTAGTTCTGTCGGCATGACCCCTTCGTGTAGACAGAGGGGGTGGGGTTCCATGGGTGTAAGAATCCCACCTCCCCGAGCGACAGGCGTGACAGACAGAAGCATTCTTCCCTCCACATAGCTCTGGCTTCCCGGGGGATGGTTTTTTTACAGTCCTGAGCAACGTGGCTATGTCGACTTGACCTGAAGTGTAGACCAGGCCCTAACATGTGACCTGGGATAAGTCGCCCCCCTCTGTAAGTTAGAGAGAGTGTCTAGGGATGGCTCAGTAGCAGCATCTCTCTGATGTTGCTGTTACCGGGCCTGGCTGGAGCCGGCAGGCAACAATAACGGGTGGAAAAGTGAATGGGCAGTTTGGTAACCTCACTAACGGGTCAGGATTTCAGTCCCTTCCGACTCAGCTGAAGGTTCAGCCACTTCTTTATTTATCTGGACTGTTCCACCCATCCCTGCTCCGCACTTCCTACAGCACCTGCTGTGCCTGGATCTCTAAGTATTTCGCATGCATCAGTCAGTTAACCCTCTCAGTGCCGCTGTGCACGGCAGCGGTATTCTAGGCATTCTGTGGATGGCAAAACGAAGGCATGGAGAATATAAGCCCTGGTCTACACTGGGGCGGGGGGAAAGGGGGATCGATCTAAGTTATGCAACTTCAGCTACGTGAATAACGTACCTGAAGTCGACGTACTTAGATTGACTTATCATGGTGTCTTCACCGCGGTGAGTCAACTGCTGCTGCTCCCCCGTCAACTCCGCCTGTGCCTCTCGCCGAGTTGGAGTACAGGAGTTGACGGGAGAGCGCTCGGGAGTCGATTTATCGCGTCTAGACTACATGCGATAAATCGATCCCCGCTGGATTGATTGCTACTCGCCGATCCGGGGGGCAGTGAAGACATACCCTAAGTGATCTGCCCAAGGTCACAAAGCAAATCAGTGTCAGGTGGTGTCCTGAATGCCTATTCCGTGTCCTGCTCTTGACTCCCACTTCCCTCCAGCAGAAACATGAAAAACACAGCCCTGAAACTGATGCCCCTGCAAATGTCACATTGGCTTACTGGGCGGGAGGTGGTGTTGCAAAATACTGGGGTTCTAGCCCCAGCTTTGCCAGAGGCATGCCAGGATGAGCTTGGCTAAGTCACTTTGCTTCATTGCTCTATGCCTCAGTTTCCTCATCCATCGATTAAAAAGTGCTATCTAAGAGTTAGGTATTATTAGAGATGTGGTTGTACAGCACTTAGGCCAACAGCGCCTCTAGAAGCTACTATAGTCATAAAGGAGGGGGAGGGAGCTCTTATTTTATCCAAACCAGATTGTCCCCATCTCTGGCTGTGAAACATTTCTTGTTTCACACATCGAGATTGGAGATGGACATGAGCTGTGAAGGTGGGATCTGAACGTTTCCAGGGTGCACATCTGGGTCCCAGTGTTCCAAGGGGTTTGGATCTGGGTTTTTGGTGCAGTCCCAGGTTTTTTGCTCAGTCCCTTCTCTAAGCAAATGTATTTGAGATAGAAGTGCATTAAGTACCACGGTAAAGAACACGTCACAGAGGGAAGGATTTATGTTTTAAGTCGGCTACATGTGGGGCTCCCCGGTGGGGACTGGCCCTCTTTCCCATCCAGTGCTTCATTTGTAATGAAAGAGGTGCCGAAACGAAAGCAATTTTTTTACATTCATACTGATGTGGCAAGCCCAGAGGTACCAGGGCTATGAACTGCCACACCTAGAGGTGCTGGCGCTCAGCCCTGGCTAGTCCTGGCACAAATTAAGCACTGATCCCTCCCCCGTGAACTCCTATGGACGCAGTGGGAGCACTTGAAGGCAGGCGTGTAATATGCATTTCACGGTTGTCTTGTTACAGGTATTTACCCTGCATGTGCTTCTGGGGTGACTTTTCAATGCAACTCTCTGAAGGAGCCTCCACTCAGGAGGGTATGCGTGTGGGGAGGCCACATTCTTAATGGGACTGGGACCTCTCTCACTGAGGGCTGATGACGTGACCTAGTGCAGGGAGCAATCCTGCCCTGCTGTGGACGGACCAGCTGTGCCCACGGCAACCCTCTCCACTGCTCATGAATGATTTGAACCCCCTTATTCTGGGAGACCTGGTCCTATGTATTTAGAACGTGGCTGTACCTGGAGTGTGGCAAACATTCTGGCAGGGGTCTGGGATCGATGTGCACCTCTCTGTCACTGACTGAGCAGGGTCTAAATACTGAGCCCTGCACAAGCAGCATCTACCTCCCTCCTACTCACACCAGCCAGACCCAGGGCCAGCGCAACCCATTAGGCGACCTAGGCGGTCACCTAGGGCGCTAACATTTGAGGGGCGGCGACCACGGCGGCCGGATCTTTGGCCACCCCGGTTGTCGTCGGTATTTTGGGGGTGGGACCTTCCGCCGTTTAGGGCGGCAAAAAAGCTGGCGGCGCTCCTGGCCAGACCCTTGCCAGCATTACCCCCCTGGCATTTGTCGCGAGTCTTGCCTTCCTGCTAGGTAGGATGTAGGCTCCAAACACCAGCAGCACCAGCGACGCTGGCCCAGATGAGCACTGCATTCCCGGCACCTCAAACACAAACCAAACTATAGCCTTGTGCAAGCCAGTGTCTGAATACAGTGTGGAGGTGTTGAAAGGCAGCCTTGGGGTAGCTGTAAAACGTAGTCCCCTCCATCCTGAGCTGATGGATAAAGCACAGCACAGTGGAACTTTTAAAGAGTGGTGGATGGACAATTTGGCAAGTTGGGACAAGTGGGGGAAGGGGAAGGAAGCAGCTTGGTACAGGGCGTCTCCTATGTGGTGTCCAGATGCCACAATGGAGGGTGTAGTATATATACCAAGAGAAATTAGACCGATGTCCTCTTGCTACTGTTGAAGGCATGCAATTGCTTTGGCCACTTTGTTCATATTCATATGAGTTGGTTTGTGGTTCAAGTATTTGTTTCATAACACTCAGGAGGGACCGGCCCGACATCTCCACCCCTCTTTCATTTGCAGGCTTATTTAAACTAGATCCTGACTGCAAAACACCACACGGCTTGCCTCAGCCAGACGGGGAAGTGCTGGCCGATTCAGAAACACAGCTTTCTATGACTAAACAGGCTGCAAATGCCTGGTCGAGCAGACTGGCGGAGCAGAGGAGGTGGGCGGGGAGGGAATAGAACTGAGTGAGCTTGTAAGAGCAACCTACAGTTACTTGATGCTCAAAAATGCAGGCTGAACTGCTGGAAGGGAAGGAACCTCCCTCAGTTTAATTGCTAAAAGTTCTCACCTTTGCCCAACGGTCTGAGGTTTCTGGTGGGAATGCCACAGAAAAGGAAATGTGGTTCCTATTAGGGGTTTAAATGAAGGAGGAAGAAAGAGAGAGCAAGCCAGTGACACAGAGACCTGGACAGAGAGAGGCAGATGGAGAGAGAAAGGGCCAGCCCCCGCAGCCCTGACTTCATTCATCCTTGAGCAAAACTCACACTGTGACTGAGAGCTCCGTTTTCACCCTTGTCAGCACCTACCCAAGTCAACAGGAGTTTGGGCAGAATTGCTACTGTGTAAAGACATCAGGGTTTGCCCCCAAGACAGAGCCTTAGCAATGAAGGCGTAGGGTATTACAGCGGTTATCCTCAAATGCTCCGTCGTGCAGGAGGAACTGCATAGCGTTTGGTGTGTGTGGGAGGGGTGGGTTTATAGCTGTATTCTTTTCATAAGAGGAGATGGAGAGAGTGTGAGAGAGAGATTTTTATCCACAAATCCATCCCTGCTTAAAGGGCAGAAAATTCTGCTGAGTCGCAGCCGCTGGAGCAGCCTGGCTCAAACACGACTGAACCTGAAATGCCTTTGCATCCCCCCACCCAAGAGTGGGTTGTACCCATTCCCCTAATGATGCAACCCCCTGATTTTACGAAGGTTCTGGGTGTCTCCAGATCGCTCGGGAGGATCAGGGTTCTACTGTCTTTGGAGCAGGAGTTTTGTTTGGCCTCAATATGGGGTCAAAACCACAAACTTCTCCTCTGCTACTACCCCTAAATCCAGTCTGATTGTTGTTGTTTTTTCCAGCCTCTTTTCTTTTGCACACACCACACATGACCTGCCCCAGTGACTGCAGAAGGAAAGGATGGGAGGCGACCGTTCGTTTGAAGTTCATCCCAAACATATCACAAAGACATCCAAATCTTGCTTCCCACAGCTGGCTGGCTGAGTATTGAGGCTTCACCAGGCAGACTGTGTTTGAGAAAGATACCAGCACAGTGGTCAGTCCAGGCTGGAGACTGAAGGGGGGGGAATGGGGAGTGGGAAAGGGTTGGGGATGGTGATAGGTTTGGCCTAAACTTTATCTTTCCAGTCAAGAGGCTGCAAGGCAAGCTTAAGGAAAGAGTATCTCTACGGGGGAACGAATGGCGTATGCCCTGGGAAAAGCAGTGAAAGTTTGGGTAGGCTCAGACAAATAGGAAAAGACGAGTCAGTTCCGTCATAATAACTGGAGATGGGCCTATGCTGCAAAGCTGGGAACTGGGTATGTTAGTTCC